GAAAGGCATTCATCTAAGAACAGACCGATAAAATGTATTTAAAAAAAAAAAACAAGAAAAGAAATTATTTGAAGTAAACATAGAATCGAGTATAAATAATTCTATTGAATAATTTTTTTTTGCCTTGAAAAAATGTGTTATCAGTAGGTCCTTGGGTGAAAATAAAAGAGAAATAGCAAACCATTTGAAACTTTATTCTCCTTTGGATAATTTACAACCTAAACCAAGTAGAAAATGTCGACTAATTAGCGAGGCTAATTAATATTGTATTGAAAGACACAACAACCTTTTAGTGCTCTCCAAGAGCAACAAAGGTGACTCCAAAGATTTAGGGCAGAAGAAATGACAAGAAAATATTGGAAACAAGACAGATGGGATGGGGGGGTGTTTGTTACGTCTGCAGTGGTTTATTTATTTGAGAGAAGGAGCTGATGCAACTATAGCAAAATATTCGCCTTGTTAAATCCAGATCACAGGTATATGTGTGTTTGCTTTTTAAGATATGTTTGAAACATGGCATAACCAAAAAAAACCCCCAAATATTGAATTCAGGTTTAAAAGAACCATGGTTACTTGGTATAAATAGAAAAATCCTGAGACCCATACATGATTTCAAAATAAAGAGGAGTAAGAACCGTGTCCAATCATGATAAGAGCAACCTGAATCAGAAATAAGGAAGAGTGTTTGTGTGCAAGGAAGTAGGCACTCTGCTAAGTAGGAAGCTTTGCTGGGAGCTGAAGTGGAAATTCACCTGACACAGCTTCATATTAGTTCAGTCATTTAAATCCATGTTGGTTTATTTCAGGTCTAGGTGCATACATTTATTATTGAGTAGACGACCCAACAGAGCCAAGCCCCACCTCACACGGGTGGTTGCAGAAAGGGTCTGTAGGGTCTGCAAGGTCAGACATGGGGCTTGTGCCAACGCCAGGCTCACCAGTTCCAAGTTCAGCTCTGAGACCGATTGGTTTATAGCAGAACGGGAGCAACACTTCAACGATTCTGTTATCAGTCACTTCTGTTTACTCAGCCTTGTTGGGGACATGTGTGTCTCCCTTTTAACCATCCAGCTCATCACACACAGCATATTGATCACAGCGACTCTACCGTACTTCGTTGATTGCGCTTACCATTGTGGACCGCGATTGGATTTTCTATACGTGTCTTCCCTTCCTGGGCTCTGAGAGCCATTAGGTCAGCAACTGATCTCCCCGGAGGCCCAGGCCTATTACAGTTTCTCAATAAAGGGCTGTTGGATTGAATTAAGGGAAAGTTGCTGTTCTCAGATAGACCTCAACCAGATAGGTAGTTAAGGATATGGAAACCTTAGCCAACCATGGGATGCTGTTTACACAGTGGGAGGCTTTTGGTGCCAAATCTGAGAGTGAGAAGAAGTTTAACACTGCTTCCCCACAAAGCTGTACGAGGATGATGCCCTATTGAGCCTAAGGTGGTCCCATGTGCCTTTAACTGCAGGTCTCAGTGACAATAGAGATAAATGCTGGATTCCATCCATGGAAAACTCTTAGACCACCTGGAAAGGTTGAGGCAGAGAAGTGCATGAGCCATCTGAGCTGCAACCACAAAGTAACCAGGGGCTCCCCAGAGGCAGGGTGTCCTGTAACAACTGCTTTTGTCAGTGCTCCCTGCTTTAAGTGCAGAACTAACTAACTTCTTTCCTTCCTCCTCCTTCCTTCCTTCCTTCCTTCCTTCCTTCCTTCCTTCCTTCCTTCCTTCCTTCCTTGTCAATGATAACCCTCCCCAACCCGAAAAGCTTCACTCTGTACTGAAATTGCTTAGACACTCCCTTCTTTCTCATTTCTCACACACTTCTCTCTTTTACTCCATTCATTCATCTCGTGCCCATTTCACCTCTGTTCTGGAGGCGGGGACTCTGACTTGTTTCTCTCTCTATCCTTTGTACCTACTTCATTAAAAGTAGGACTTTTTTTTATTCATTGAAAGAGCACAAAAATAAAAACGCTTTTTGTGTTAAGCAAGAAAAGCGAACGATGGAAAAATTAAATTCTTACCAAAAAATTTCTCCAGCAGCGCAGTCATTGAAAGGAAATGCCGCTGAGCCGAGTCTCAGGGAGGTGGAAGGCAGGGAAGCTCAGGGAGCATCTCCAGCAGGATCTCCTAGAAATTCTTCCTGCCTTTTGCAACTTGGGCAGCTCAGCTTAGAGGATGTTGTACTAATAGTTGGTCTCAGATGGAGTGACAATCAACTCTACAATTTCTACAACTTGCACAGATACTGTAAATACACAGAATGCATGAGGGTGGTGTGTACTTCGGGCTCTCCGAGGAGGATTTCCTGGGCCTTTCATTTTGACATAAGAGATTCAAAGGTGGCTTGGTGCCAGACTGGTTGGGGTCTTGAGGAGATGGCCCCTGCATGAGGGGTAGTGGTTGAGACCACTGTTGTGTTCACATCTCCTGATAACTCCTTTGGTTTTTTTTTTTAAGATTTTATTTATTTATTTGACAAAGAGAGACAGAGTGAGAGAGAGAGCACAAGCAGGGGGAGTGGGAGAGGGAGAAGCAGGCTTCCTGCTGAGCAGGGAGCCCAATGCGGGGCTCCATCCCAGGACCCTGGGATCATGACCTGAGCCGAAGGAAGACGCTTAACGACTGAGCCACCCAGGAAAGAAGGAAGGAAGGAAGGAAGGAAGGAAAGAAGTTAGTTAGTTCTGCACTTAAAGCAGGGAGCACTGACCCATAACTCCTTTGGTTTTATGCCCACCTGCAGTAAGAACAATTTTCTGCCTTTGATGCAGAGCACATTTTATGCATTTGTATAGACAAAGGCAGCAATGAAATAAATAATAATATTTTGCAAAAGAGGATGTCAGGTTTTGAGTATTTAAAAAAATGTTTATGTTGCCAGTCTTAAAACTCTGAGATGATGAGAATTTCTGATCAGCAATCCTCAAACTTTCCAAGCAGTAAGGTCGGGGCATCAGTTCAGAAGCTGGATGTCATCTAAATATTCCTCAGACTGAGAGAAATATTGGTGTAGACCAGGGGTCGGCAAACTTTTTCTGTAAAGGGACAGATAACAAATATTTTCAGTTTTGTAGACCATACATTCTCTGTTGTGACTATTTAACTCTTCCATTGTGTGAAAGCAGCCACAGGCGTTATGTAAATGAACAAGTGTGGCTGTTTTCTAATAAAACTTTATTTACAAAAACATGCAGCCAGCTGCATTTGGCTCTGGGCTACAGGTTGCTTGATCCCTGGTTTAGTCCATTTTGTATCTATTTCAGGTGTGAGGTAGGGATCTGGGTTTATTGATTTTTTTCCAGATGGCTACCTAGTTGTTCTAGTATCATTTATTGAGCAGTATTAAGCAGGGAATAGTATTAACACTGATGTAAAATAGAGCCTGTTCACCAATCTGAAATAGATCAGTGCTTCTCAACATTTCTGTCATGAAGGTCCTATGGGTGAGTTGTCTTCATAAATGGGTTGTGTTACTTAGGTAAAAAGTAGTCTTTCCCCTTATTTTTTGTTCATCTTCGGATTAAGTTTTAAACTTCTACTTCTGCCTTATTTCAGAACTTGTCTCAGAGAGAATCAATTTGGGGTTTCCCTTACTTTTGAGAATATGGAGGGCTTTTTAAAAGCACTTATTCCACGTGACCTTAAAAGATGAATGTGTTAAGCCCTCCTCTCTAAGTCTCTATCCTTACATTCTCAAGTTACTAAGTGCATTCTGATAGAGGAGGAAATAATATAAGCGGCGTAAAAATTAGAAATGAGGATAAATTATCATTATATGCTCTTTGAGAATATAAGAAACTCTCTGGAGAAATAATTTAAAAAAATAAAATAACTCAGCAATGTACCTCCTTATGAAAGTAATTTCCAAAATTAATTAATTTCTCTTTGTACCTATAAGTAATTAGCTAAAAGATAAAGGAACCGTAGACCTCATTTATAATAGAATCACAAACAATAAAATTGACAAGAAATATGCTCCAATAAATATTTAAGACACCATTAAGGGGCATAAAAGAAAAGTGGGATTAATCCCTGTCCTTGGGTATCAAGACTTGATAGTGTAATGATGTATGCTCATCCTAAACTAACCCCAAAATAAAATGAGGTCTTTCTAAATTTCTTTTTTTTTCTTAAAGATTTTATTTATTTATTTGAGAGAGAGAATGAGAGGTAGAGAGAGCATGAGAGGGGGGAGGGTCAGAGGGAGAAGCAGACTCCCTGCTGAGCAGGGAGCCTGACGCGGGACTCGATCCGGGGACTCCAGGATCATGACCTGAGCCGAAGGCAGTCACCCAACCAACTGAGCCACCCAGGCGCCCCGAGGTCTTTCTAAATTTCATCTTAAAATGTTTTCATGCAGAAATATCCACAGCAATTGGTAAAAAGAATAGTATTAAAGAGAATTATTCCTGTTAAGTTAGTAAAATGCCTTACAAAGTTTAAATCTAGCTGTTTGAAACTACTTAATATTGTTTATATTAGCATATTAATGCAAAGATTAGTGAAGAAACACAATAGGGTTGTTAATTATATGTTTATTAATAAGTATATTTATAGAATTAGCAAACAATGAATGTGGCATTTCAAATCAGTGACAAAAAATGGATTATTCAATAAATGATACTGGACAACCTGGAAAAAATAAATAAAGGTTGATCCCTATTTTATACCTTAAATAGATACAATTTAAAATAAATCAGCCACAGAGAAAGGACTAGATGCAATTAGAAAATGTTTTGTATGGATAATTGGAGAGAGCATGGTAAGCAAAATGGGAGACCCAGATGCTACAAAAGAAAAGACTGATAAATCAGATTAATTTGAAAATTTTGTGTGGAAAAAAAAATGCCATGAGAGGACACCAAACATAAATTGGGGAAAATTTAAATATATATGACAAAGAGTGAGTTTTCTTCATTTATAAAGCATTCTTATAAATAAATGGGTAAGATTTAACAAATCATTTAAAAATGGGTAAAGATAGGAAGCGGGCTGGCTCAGTAAAGCTGAGGCAGCGGGGGAAGATGGCGGCGGCTGTACCGCAGCGGGCGTGGACCGTGGAGCAGCTGCGCAGCGAGCAGCTATCCAAGAAGGACATTATCAAGTTTCTACGGGACCACGGTTCAGATTCGTTTCTTGCAGAACATAAGTTATTAGGAAACATTAAAAATGTGGCCAAGACAGCTAACAAGGACCATTTGGTTACAGCCTACAACCATCTTTTTGAAAGTAAACGTTTCAAGGGTACTGAAAGTATAAGTAAAGTGTCTGAGCAGGTGAAAAATGTGAAGCTTAATGAAGATAAACCCAAAGAAACCAAGTCTGAAGAGACTCTGGATGAGGGTCCACCAAAATATATAAAATCTGTTCTTAAAAAAGGAGATAAAACCAACTTTCCCAAAAAGGGAGATGTTGTTCACTGCTGGTATACAGGAACACTACAGGATGGGACTGTTTTTGATACTAATACTCAAACGAGTTCAAAGAAGAAGAAAAATGCCAAGCCTTTAAGTTTTAAGGTTGGAATAGGCAAAGTTATCAGAGGATGGGATGAAGCACTCTTAACTATGAGTAAAGGAGAAAAGGCTCGACTAGAGATTGAACCAGAATGGGCTTATGGAAAGAAAGGACAGCCTGATGCCAAAATTCCACCAAATGCAAAACTCATTTTTGAAGTGGAGTTAGTGGATATTGACTGAAATAGCAATGCTTCGGATATAAAGACATCAGCAACAATAAAACACGGCCTTGAAGAAACTTATATAACTAATTAGAGCTGGTTACTATTGTTAAGGGAAGAGTCAACTGGAAAATTCAAGAACTCCGATATTGTTTACCCAATCCCCAACTTTTAATATATGTAATCCATTATAATTCCCTAAAGTTTGAAATATTTTACTACAGCTGTGTAAAATATTGGTTAAGAGAAATGACTTTCCTTTTACCTCCTCTTGTAAACTAAAAGGCTCAATAAAAACATATTCAATGTCAAAAAAATGGGTAAAGGTAGAAATAGGCAGTAAACAAAAATGAAACAGAAGTTTATAAATGCGTGAAAAGTTGTTCACTCTCACAAACCCTTGGAGGGTGATTTCCATAAAATTAAATAAAAATGTCCAAAACACCTGCTGTTTAGCTCTGAAGATGACAATCCCAAAGGAGCAGCACCTTAAGTCCCTTCGAGATACCGTCTACACCGAGTAGAAATTCTGCTTCTGGGAATGAGTCCCACGGGGACATGTGAGCTGCACAGAAAGTGCTTATGAGAACGGTGCTCATGTCCTTGTTTCTGGTCACGATCCAGTTCTCTGCCAGTAGATGAGCACATAGATAAAGTATGATACCTCCATTTTATGGAAGGGTATAGCATTACATAGAATGCATTCCTTTGAAAAGAGGGAGGTAAATCTATTTATTGACAAAGAGCTTTAGGAAACATTATTTTAAAGCAAGGAAAAGTGATGCGTACGTACACTGTGCTCCCATTCGAAGTTCCCGAGATGAACAGATACATACATATGCATGCAAACATATGGAATAATTCTGGAAAGATACACAACAAATTAGAAATAGCGTTTCTCACTATGGGGAAAGGACTAGAGGCTAAAAATACACAGTAATTGTTATTTTTAAACTAGAGGTATATATTGCTGTTCAATTAAGTACTAGGTGTTGAAAGGATTTAAAAAAACAAAATAGTTTTTTTTTATTGTGGTAAAAAACACAAAACATTAAATTTACTATCTTAACCAGTTTTGGGTGTTCTGTAGTGTTAAGTATATTCATATTGTTGTGCAATGCATCTCTAGAAGTTTCTCATCTTGTAAAACAAAAGGTCTGAACACACTGAACACAAATTTCCCCTTCCTCCTCTCCCCAGCCTTTGGAAACTACCTTTTTACTGACTGTTTCTATGATTTTGACTGCTTTAAATGCTTCATGTAAGTGGAATCATATAGTATGTGTCCTTTTGTGACTGGCTTATTTCATTCAGCATAATGTCTTTGAGATTCATCCATGTTGTAGCATGTGACAGGATCTCTTTCTTTTTAGTGGCTGCATAATATTCCATTGTATTGATATACCACATTTTGTTTATCTATTGCTATGATCTGAATATTTGTGTCCCACCCAGATTCATCCACTGTAACCCAAACCCCCAATGGTGATGATGGTATTAGTAGGTGGGACCTTTGGGAGGTGTTTAGGTCATGAGAGTGGAACTCTCTTGAAAATGATAGTGCCTTATAAAAGAGGCTCAGAGAAATCTCTACCCCATTCTGCCCTGTGAGGACATAGTGAAAGTGTGCAGCCCAGAAGAGGGCCCTCACCTAACCATGTTGGCACACCAGCCTCAGACTTCCAGCCTCCAGAACTGTGAATGGTAAATTTCTGTTGTTTAGAAGGCACCCTGTCTATGGTATTTTGTTCTCCTAGCCTGAACAGACAAAGATATCAATTCCTCCATCAATGGCCACTTGAGTTGCTTCTACCTCTTGGCCATTGTGAAAAACACTGCATTGAACATGGGTGTGCACCTGTCTCTTGGAGATACTGCTTTGAATTTTTTTGGATGTATACCTAGAAGTGTAATTGCTGAATATGGTGATTCCATTTTAAGTTTTTGAGGAAGCTCCAAACTCTTTTCCACCGCGGCTGCACCACTTTGCATTCCCACCAACAGCACACAAGGGTTCTAATTTTTCTGCATCCTCGTCTACACAGTGTGTTTATGTGGTTCTCTTACCCTTGAGATTTGTAGGGAGAGGCAATCCCCCGTGGACCCTGAGCGGTCCTAATGTCCTTGCTGGATATTCCAAGAGCTCAAGACCCTGGCTGTGGTTTATGCAGGCTATATTCAGAGTGTATCAGAATAGCAATCCTGAGAGATGAGGGGCTGCCTCCACCAGACTAAGTCCAGGTTTGCTTCTGCTCACTCTAAGTGGATCCCCCCAAGCTTGTCCTCTAAAGCAGTAGGACCCTTTGCATCTCTGTGGTACTCAGGAAGGCATGATGAGCTGACCCCTTATTCACAAAGCCATGTCTTCTCTGTCAAGTGAATGGCTTCCAAAATGGTGTCATTTCCCAGCTATTTTCCTGGATGACCATGACTGACATGATGCCCAGTGTCTCCCTGATGGCATTTGGAAACTTTCAGTTACTGACTTTTCTCTCTCATGGTGCTTCTATGCTGGCCTTTCCCCCCAGATTATACCCTTGACATATATTGTGTCAAATCTAAGACCTATAGGCTCGTGGCTAAAAGTCATATCATTCATGCTGTCTTTTTATTACACATAAAAAAAATTAAAAATATGCTCGCTACTTATTTGAGATTGTCAGCTGAAATGAGGATTTAGGCTTGAGTGTCCTTCGTGTAAATAGAATCTTAAGTCATCTCCACTGTGAATATATTCCTATTATAGGCTTTTTGATGATACAGATAAGAATAAATACTATTCCAATTTAAGGAAAACTTGTTTAGGTGACTTTCTTCTTGCATATAAAAGGGCAAGCTGCCTCTGGAATTATGGTACAGAGATCGGCACGGAGATGAGCATGTTTGTCTGTCCTGTGTCATCCATCAGGTGAGCTTCACACCTGAGACACCCACTCCCCTGCTAGTCATTTTCCCAGTTAACGCTGTGCTGTGCTCAAAACTCTCTGTTTACTTTCTTATTGGCATAATCGTCTTTTTCCTTATGCCCTTGAGGAGAAATCAGTTAAAACTCTCAAAGAGCCCAGTTTGGAAAAAGAGTCCGAGGTCAGAGCCCTTTTCCAGAAGGAGCTGTGAGCAAGAAAGGAGAAGGGCAGGCGGCGTAGGTCCCAGAACTTCGCCTCGCCTTACGCCTGTGACCGAGAGAGAGAAGTTTAAAATAAATCCCATTTGATGCGCATTAGGCAAATGCACTTTATTTGGATTTGAAGTCCCATCTTCTATTGTGTATGTTTTAATGGTCTTAATCATTCAAACCTGAGTGGCTTATCTTCCTTTCAGAGCTTTGAACATTGTAATGATTCAATAGCCTTCTTTTTTAAAAGAGAGAAGAGAAAATTTTCAGGAGCAGCGGAAAGAGACCCCCGGGGAGCTTGCGTGCATGCTGCAGCAAAAGCTTTATTAGCCAAAGTTCCCACTGAGGGAAAATTCAGACACAGGAAAAGCTTGCAGAAAAGTGTCCCGAAAATGGAATGCAAAATTACTGTGGCAATGCTTTTTCATTTGTACACCCCCAAATAATAATAAGTGAAATGCTCAATGCATTCATTACATTGCTAATAGATTTTCTACCCTTAAATTAAATAAATCCATTCATTGATTATTTAAGGAAGCGCACAGTGATCTCCTGGCTCTCTTGGAAAACCTGCCTCTTAGACGCTCCTGGGCACAGTTAGGGGGAAAGGAATTAAGGCTATCCCTGTAAGATTTTTCCTAGGTACTGTTGACTAAGTACCTAGGGCTTAAAACAACAGAAATTTATTCTTGCACAATTCTGGAGGCTAGAAGTCTGAACTCAATCTGTTGACAGGGCCACGCTTCTCCTGAGTGGTCTAGGGGAGAATCTTCCATGTCCTTCTCATAGTTTATGATGTTGTTGGCGATTCTTGGGGCCCCTGGCTTGCAGATGCATCACTCCGATGTCTGCCTCTGTCATCACGTGGCATCTTCCTGTGTCTTCATGTCATCTCCCCTTCTCCTCTTGTCTCTCCTCTTCTTATAAAGACCCAGTCATATTGGATTAGGGCCCATCCCAATGACCTCATCTTAACTTGACAATTGTGAAGACCAGATTTCCAAATAAGGTCACATTCACAGGTTCCAGAGTTAGGATTCCAACATATCTCAATGTGACAATGGCTAGGAAGGACAAAGGTGGCTGTAGTCACACGATATTTATTGGACAGGAGGAGTGATACCTTCTCATATTGATGGTTGTGACCATTTTTTATAAGGGAGGAAGAACGGGTGCCCAGTGGCTCAGATGGTTAAGCATCTGCCTTCGGCTCAGGTCATGGTCCCGGAGTCCTGGGATCAAGTCCCGCGTCGGGCTCCCTGCTCCTTGGGAGCCTGCTTCTCCCTCTGCCTCTCTCTTTCTCTCTCTCTCTCTCTCTCCCTCTCTCTCTCTGTCTCTCATGAATAAATAAATAAAATCTTTAAAAAAAAATAAGGGAGGAAGAACAATCATCTGGAATTGACAGGAAATTGAAAAAAAATGCTTTTGGACTCCCTGGCAAGTAGAACATGGGAAAATGAGCAAACAGCACCCCCAAGTGCTACATGGAGTAGGACTCAGAAAGGGAAGCTGGTGTGTGAGTCAAGGTGATGCATGGTGGCTGGCATCTAACATTTGCTGAGTGTTTATTGTGAGCCAGGCATAGTTTCAGACGTTCGAGGTGCATTACATCATTTCATTTGTTCAACAAGTGTCTTCATGTTACAAAACAAGAAACTGAAGCTCAGAGTTACACAATGGTCAGTTTTGTTGCTACCCTTGAATATTGTTGGATATGATCAATGCAGTCCTTTATTTTCCTTTTCGTTATTGTTCTTGTTGTCACCTGCTTTGAGATAGCTTCCCAGCACACGCAGAAGAAAGCCTTAGAGAACAGGAGGGAGGAGCCATCAGAGGATGGTTGTGCTCTTGGTGAGGTAGAGGCAGATCTGGGTCACGCAAGGCATAGGTTTTGCAGGTGAAGGTGCACCCAAGGACAGTGGTCAGGAGATGTCTGGGGACTTGCTGCCCTCAGGATCCTCAGTGGCATTCCAAAATGATGTGTCTCGGCTACCGTCCCAGCCCAGCCTGTGCCATCTTGTTCAGAGTTCTCACACAGTGCCTCTGCTGATTCTTTCTCTCCGGTGGGAGTGAGATGTAGAGCAGGCATGGCGGTTGCCTCCAGGTTTGGGACCCAGCAAAGAGAGCCGCTCAGCATTGGGAAAACGCGTTGGCTGCCTCATCCAGGGCTGTGGACTCGCTCAGCATTTTGGTTCGGCGAAATGC